TTCCTTGGAGCGGACAGCCAGACACCAATGCATATGATTTGATTATAGTGGTGAAGTCTTTGTGCAAGACCATCCACACTTTTTGAAGGGCCGAATACAGAGACCTGGTGCACTACGTACCACAACGTCACCGAACGAATTCAGAGTTGTCCTGCACCAAGACCTGTTTCCATCCTGTAATTTGTAAGAAGAAGAGGATCCATATCAAGTGAATGTAAAGGATTTCATTGGAATTCGACTCTCCGATGCCTCAGTCCAAGTCGCTATCCATTGCTCCATTTAATCGTATTTTATTTAAATATTCCTTCGTATTTAATTCATATTTTCAACTTAAGTCGAAAATTTGGACTAACTCCAAGTGAAAGAATTAAATAAAGAATATGTAGAAAAATCAACATAAATTTAAATTGCATCGCTCTTTATCAGAAATTTTGGCAGTGAACGATACAAAGATACGCATCAATGTTTAACTACAATGATACTTTGTTTTCATTGTGTTAACATCCAGCAGACGATACTTCAAATATGTAAATCCAAACATCCTGTCGAACATTCGTCATATTTCTCATATAATTTAAATACACTAGGATACAAAAGATTTTACATACACTTAAAGCACACTGACATTTCAGAAATTAAAATATACACACTTACTTCCCTGTCATCTACGATATTAAAAATGTTAATTGATTGATAAATTTTTAATGAAAGCCTTCACTGTACACTATTTACATTATTCGGACTATTGTCCTCATCTTTGTCGCCATATTTATTACAACGTTTCGGCCCTTCAGTATCTGTCTATATTTCTGAGATGAGGTATTATGTACATTATTTACATTATTCGGACTATTGTCCTCATCTTTGTCGCCATATTTATTACAACGTTTCGTCCCTTCAGCATCTGTCTATATTTTTATGATGAGGTATTATGTACACTATTTACATTATTCGGACTATACGTTGATTGGGGTTTAGCATGAAACAGACTGCCGCATTTGGCTGTTGACTTCAATGTCCACTCTTATATTCACATACGCTCTATACCTGACATTGAGCACTTTAACCCATATCTACAGCAGCTCTTAAAACTATATTATCACATATATATATATATATATATATATATATATATATATGAATAAAAATGACAATAGGAAAACTAGTAATTGCTGACGCGTTTCGTCCAATGTGGACTTTATCAAAGCAAAATACGAAAATGAAATTAAATGAACAAAGTAACTAATAAAAACAAAAACAGAATGTACCTAGCAAGTGGAATGTAGAGAAACGCTATTTTCATATTTTTAACTGAAAATAACGTCAGTATTTGTCACGTGTGGAGAATATTGTCATTATATCTGTGTTGATGTATTCAGCCATTTTATTTCGATTTTATGAATCTGTTGTGTATATTTGTTTGTAAGCCATTAATTTTGTTAAGAAAGGTGAAATGGGGAAAAAACCTGGGTGTAGATTAATATTTGGGTAATATTCAATGGCGGCTCTCTCTAGACTTTTCCTTCTGAGTGGGTTATTTTCTTTTTTTATGAGTGTAGCATTTTTAAAATCAAAATTATGGTTGAATTTATTTCTATGTATGACTTGTGCATTAGCTAAGTTGTTTTTTGTGAGGTCTCTTTTGTACTCATAAATGCATTTTTTCAAACTTCTACTTGTTTCTCCAATATATTGGGAGGAACAGTTTTGGCAATTTATTTTATAAATGCCTGCTTCAGGAATATTATTGCTATTAGTGTTTGACGATCTGAGTATATCCATAATGGTTTTGGAAGTGTTTGTGACGATTTCAAGATTATTTAGATGGGATAGGTTATTCTGGATAGTGGATGGAACAGAATTGGTCGGTAGTATTATGTATCTGTTTTCATGTCTCTATTCTCCACGTTTTGATTCATAAATATTGTCTAATGGTTAAATCGGATAATTTTATATATATATATATATATATATATATATATATATATATATATATATATATATATATATATATATATATATATATATGCATTTTAACGTAATGGATCTTTATTTAACAAACAGACAATTTTTTATCACTTTAAACGTTACTTTCAGTGGATACTCATATTTGAGTAGACGTTTCATTTATTTATTAAACAGCATTTTCGCCTCTTAGATTGAATATTCCAGATATTTCGTTCAGGATCCTGCCGGAGGGAACATATTTTTTTTTTAATAAGATTTTAAGATTTAACATATGAGTATCCACTGAAAATAACGTTTAAAGTGATATATATATATATATATATATATATATATATATATATATATTAATTTCGATTATAGGTGCAGTTTAATTTATAATTACATGAATCATTGATACAAAAAACAAATATAGAGGTTAATGATTTAAATGGCGAGAATACATCTTCGCAAACAATTTCAATAAGTTACACTAACCCCGAACCTGTATATGAATGATATGATCCCTGTTTATAAATTCCAGTTTCATAAGGTCTTCCAAAACAATAACACATTTCTCAAAAGATTTTTTCGGATTACATCTCTATTTTCGTTGTCCTCTTATTAGCGAGAAGTAAAAAACAAGAACAAATCTATTTCCATACCTGAGGATGTCTGTAGGAACAGACGAAAGCTTGTAAAACTAAAAAAGACCTTATGAAACTTATTGAAATTGTTTACGAAGATGTATTCTCGCCATTTAAATCATTAACCTCTATATTTGTTTTTTGTATGAATGATTCATGTTATATATATATATATATATATATATATATATATATATATATATATATATATATATATATATATATATATATATATATATATATATACATATATATATTAAAAAAAAAACAGACCCCTTTATACAAATGCATATACATATACACATAAAACCACATCTCAATGTCCAATTCCATCTACACATTTGTATACATACAATTATGTATCCGCACCCATGTGTGCATGCAATCATTTCCAAATCCAAAAATAACACAATATTTTCCTTTCAATATAGTTTTTTTTCTAAATATATTTAGTTAGATTGAGATGGTTTGTATGTCTACATTTTTAAACATTTAATTTACTATCATCAAACGCTAAAAAATCTGTTTTTTACCTAAATTGCTAGAACTATACAACCCCTCTTCTTCCTCCGTAAACTCTAAATACATCTTCTTTCTCTTTACTCCCCCCTTCTTTCTTTTTTTCTTTCTCTTTCTCTCTTCTCTCCTTCCCTTTCAACATATCATTTCCGTTAAGTTGACCGATTAAATAGTACAATTTAAATAAAAACCTTACCCCCCTCTTTCCTCAATATTAAGTATGAAAGAAAGAAATATAAAAATAAACCCTCTCTAAACTCGACCATGTCTCTCACACCACTCCTCGCTACTGTTAAATTACATAAACTTAATACTACCCGTCAAAAGTGTAAATTTTCATTTCATTTTTCATTTCACCTTTTGAAAGTGAAGTCTGAAGATCCAGAGTACTTTAAAAGGTCTCTGGTGAAATAAACTATTACAATGGAGCTTTAAAGTGGTCTGTTTTTCTTTAAATTATTAGCTCTGAATTTACATTGAGCTCTCAAGATTTCATCCTCCTTGGGATTACCCATACGTATTACCAAGATTTTCGTAACTTATATATATATATATATATATATATATATATATATATATATATATAGTTAGTTAGTTAGTTAGTACGCAGTGCAATCTAAAATATACCTCATGAAATAATTTTGAATTTTATTGTGTACTAAATATTTGATCTGTAATAAAAAATACAGTGAGCTCTTTTGTCGATCAGTTTTAATACTTTGTGTTACTAGGCTCCACTTGGATTATATACCAACGGATTTATTACCATTACTATATATATATATATATATATATATATATATATATATATATATATATATAAACAACAGACCAACTCCATTCCATGTAATAAATTATTTCACCACAGCCCTTTGAAAAGGAATGCGGACCATCAGACTTTACTTCCAAACAAAAAAATGAAAAGAAAATTTACACATTTTTGATTAAACTAAATATTAGCTCCTTTTCCTAAACTAAATATTAGCTCGTTATAAAATACCGTCAAAATGTGTAAATTTTTTCTTCTCATTTTTTGTTTGGAAGTAAAGTCTGATGATCCGCAATCCTTTAAAAGGGCTGTGGTAAAATAATTTATTACATGGAACCTTAAAGTGGTCTGTTTTTATTTAAATTATTTGCTCTGGATTTACATTGAGCTCTCTGGATTTTATCCTCCTTAGGTTTACCCATACGGATTACCTAGTTTTTCATAAAACTAACTAATATATATATATATATATATATATATATATATATATATATATATATATATATAAAAACAGAGAGAGAGAATATGTTTCTTTTCGTATCGAGATAGCTAATTATAGGTTTATTCTGTGATATTTTCCAAATAGATCATTTCCTTTCGAGTTTCTCCCGCTGTTCATCGATGCCAAAGACAATATCTTAATTTGGCGTAGACTTCAAATGATATACTGACTGGAAGTATATCCATAATAACTATCCTCAAATAGACAAAATAATAGATGGGTATATATTGACAGAAAACACTTTTACGTATGCTCTTAATATTTGAATTGCGTGCATTTGGCCATCAGTTTCGCCTCTGTTGGTTAAGTTGGGGATCAACGATGGATTCATTAGGTTTTTTTACGGTTTACCGACCTTTTGCAGGTTATTTTAAGCCAGAAAACTTTTTTGATTGTAAGAATTTCTTCTTTGTTTTTGTTTTTTTGTTTTGTTTTGTTTTTTTAGATAATACTGATTTGCTGATACAAGTTTTATTAATTAACTCATAGCTGGCAGGGTGGGGTGAGACTTTATACCTTTCTCAAGGGTATTTACGCGTAAGTGAATATAACGATCCGAAACTGGGATCTCTGATTTCAGCATTTGAACCGTTATATATTACGCCACGCGCACGTCCAGGCTTACATCACCTGGTAATCCCATGCGGTCACCTATCTAGGTACTAACCAGGCTCAACGTTGCTTAACTTCGGTGATCCTACGAGAAGCCGTGTTTCAACTTGATATGGCCGTAAACCAGTTGAAGATCAACGAGTGAAGCTTTAATATTCGAGACATCTTATGAGAGAAACTCGAATATTCAAGCCGCAAGACGAAAATAAATATACTATTTAATAAATAAAGGGAACGTCTACTTAAATATGACTACCCACTAAAAATAACGTTTAAGCCATAAAATATGCCGCGTTAGTACTAAAAGTCTATCCTTTTCTTTAGAAAAAAAAAATATATATATATGTTTTTGTGTGTGTGTGTGTGTGTGTGTGAAGAGAGAAAATCTAAATGATAATTGACGACTAATATACAAACCTGTATGTTTAAAATAACACCAAGAGTCACTAAGGTAGATATTAGTGAAATTTCTGCGGTAATCATATTAAGTTTATTCATTTCATATTATGAAACATGAAAAGGCACCAGGTAAAGATGGCATAGCAACAGACGTTTTGAGAGATTCTGACGAATTTGTATCGGCACATCTATTTGCCCGGTGAATGCAGTAGAAACATACCACTGAACTTCTGTCTAGGAATTATAATTCTACATCATAAAAAGGATATAATAAAGATTTTGACAACCATCATCCTGTCACATTTCTATAGAACTTGCATAAATTATTCTCAAAATATTTACAAATAGATGAACATCTACACAAAGAACAAGTAGATTTTAGGACAGGGTTTCAAAACCTGGGCGATATCGGCCACCAGTGGGCGATTTCAACTGTTGGGTGGCGATGAGCAACTGTACAAAAATGGTGGGCGATTAGAAATTTTATTGCGCGATGTAGGATTTGAAGTATTAAAAAGGTATTTCAACATATTGTACGCTAAAAAAATTCAGAAGACCCTGGGGTTAAAAAAACATGAGGTTAAATATCCTCCGCGGACAAGGCATATATTTATAGATATGAGAAGTGTTATTAGCATTCTAATAGTGTTTCCGGCATTTTTTTTACGGATTTTTCCGGCGTTTTTTTTTTTTCCTGATTTTTTTTTCTCGGATAAGGGAGGACAAAGAACACATTCTCCAGTAAAATTAAGAAGTGGGCATAGGATTTTTTTTTTTATTTATATAAAACCTTTTATCTTTCTTTTTTTATCACGTTGGCCATCTCGAATTTCTTATAGCAGGAAAAGTGACCGTAAAAATATCATTTACCACGTGCTATGCTGCACCTTTGCAAGAGCCAGATCAGGCCAATAATGAAGTACTGTTATCGTACTTGCGCGGGAGCTACAAAAGTCGCATTTCCAGTCCAGTCCAGAAACGTCTCCGAATCTTTGTGGGTGACAAATTCTTCTCCACTAACCAACCTCCCTCTGATAGGCGGGATGTAACAAGCCTCTCACTACTCTATTGCTACTTTCATGGAAAGTGCTCGGACGAGCTACATTCCTTGGTTCCGCCAGGCGTAGCCCTCACGGCAAGGGCCCGCCATACCACTTACGTTGTAGTAAAACACATTCCTGTCGTATTCCATCGGTGAGAAGTTCCACTCGAACTGATACTTCCAGTGAACCACTGCTCTATTGACCTGACTCCCAAGAGGATGTTTTTCGAACCACTACAATATTAATTTGTTCGAGTCTAGGATTAACCGGCTCCTAAAATAACCTTCTACCTCCAGGGGCTTTATCCAGGGTGAATGTTACGGTAGAAAAAACTCACTTTATGCTTTTGAATATATATTATATAGGTTGGCGGTGGATAATTCTCCCATGTGAAAGATAGCGATCACGCTCAAAGGGGAAATTGCATAACAAAAAAAAATAAGAGAATATAAAAATACTTTGGATTTGATTAATTATTAAAAGACATTTTCATTCGCTAGAATAGACTGCAGTCTTTTAATTATTAAAAGAGCGGAGTATTCGCATTTATAATATCAAAGACGCAAATCTTCTATAAATTAAATGCGAAAGTCAGTGTGTCACAGTTTTTCAACCATATTCCTCGAGGTCGTAGCCCAGTATATCATACCATTTTGAAATCAGGCCGACTCCGTGAGCAAATTTTAAAAAATTCCAAGCTGGATCCTGACCCGCAATTCTGAAATTTTAGATTCTCAAATATTCATTACTGCGACTGTATTCGGATTTCGACATCTTAGCTTCTGCTGCTAAAAAAAATTAAAGGGAGACAACTCTCTAACTTTTAATACCTCACGTTCAAATGAAAAAATATTTTTTTTCTCAAATTGCAGTGTTTCAAAATAAAATTGTCCTTGTTTTCAAATTTACTCCGAGAGGTCGTAACCCAACATATATCATTTTGGAATCAGACCGACTTCGTGAGCAAATTGAAAAACATTCCGAGCCAGATACGGACCCACAATCCTGAAATTTTGTATCCCCAAGTTTTCATTACCGAGACTGTTTTCGGCGATTTTTTACATGTTATTTGAGGCGAAAATTTTGTACGATAATAATTTTCATAACTTGGAAATAATTTGAGAATAATCGAAATTAATTGCGAAAGTCACCTATGAAATAAAAATAATTGTTTGTAAATAAAATAAGGACCTACGTAGATAATGTAATATACAGGGTGTTTCAAAAAATTTGATATCATTTCGAAATCTAATAACTTTGTTAGATCTCTTTCAAATGACTTCAAATTTTAATAGCATCTTTATGTTTAATGTTTGTTTTATGTTTTTATGTCTTTATGTTTTTGTGTTTTTCTTATTTGTATTTTTATGTTCTTTAATCTTTAATCTTTTTCTTTACAGGTATAAAAATGCTATTTACTAGAAGAGAAAAGGCGTTTTGTGTGTTGGAGTTTGCTAAAACACAGTCAAACAAGACTGTGCAGCGTGCATTTATGAGAGAGTTCTTAGAAAGTCACCAACAGGAATGCAGATTTGGAGATGGCATAAAAAGTTCAAAGAGGAAGGCTGTCTGTGCAGAGCAAAAGGATCCGGATGACCACAAACTTCACATTTGTGAAATCGTTCACATAATCCACATGCTTTTGAATTTCTCATTCAGATTTGGAAGAATAAATCTTATGATCTTCAACATTAATACTTTTTAATTTCATTTGCTTTAATCATGTACTTTCTGTGATATTTACATCTCAAAGGATATCAAATTTTTTGAAACACCCTGTATAATGCAGCGATCAATTTTCAGTTCTTCTGTAGTTTATTGTTGCCTATCGCATACGGCAGCAGTATGCCTCGCATAAAGAAATCTCCGACAACAGAGGACCAGATTGAAATCAAAAGGGCCAAGGCCGCAGTGAGGAAAAAGAATTGCCGTGCAAATGAAAACTGGGATCAAACGGCAGCCAGGAGAGCTTCAAATACCGAGAATATGCGAAAACTTAGGGATTTCTCAAACTCCTGAAGAAACCGAAGGCCCAATCAAAAGCCTCCCACAGGAGCTAGTTTAAATGCCGCCAAATAGATAGTTTGCAATATATGTGGTAACAGCACTTCAATAATTAAACTATTTTAAAAAATTAGGTAAACAGGATACTGTCTCACAAAAATTATTTCCGGAAATCTTTAAAACTGGCAGTCAACATTCGGCGTAGATTCCTATGCCTACACACATACATACCTTATCTCTATCTCTTATTGCTTCATATATATATATATATATATATATATATATATATATATATATAAAAAGGCTTAAACACTAATATTCCATGGTCATAATTTATTCCATTGGAATTGTAAATACGATCCAATTCATCAGACCTACAAATTCAAAAAGAAAACAGAAAAAACAACTCCGGAAATAAAAAATAAAATTTAGAGAGAGTGTATGAGAGTGTGGGACGAATGTTAGAGCTAAAGAGGGTAACAGACGAGAGAAGGTGGGAGATTAAAAGTTAACAGGGAGAAATTTTAGAGAGGTGAGTTGAAGACGGTTTAAGTGAGAGAAATATCAATGTTGTCGGATGTAACCGGAAAGGATACATTTTGTGGTTGCATACACACACAATAGACGATCTAATCTTAAAGATCAGAAGAAGAAGGAGGGAGAGGAAAAGAAAAGAAAAAGGGGTGGGGGAGAGAGAGATGGGGCGGGGAAATAAAACTGAAGGGCATTTATGAAAATTTATTATTTATTTACCACTAATATTATCAATATATATATATATATATATATATATATATATATATATATATATTTATTGACCATGTTCGCCAAGTCTATGAATATAGAACACAGCGCAGTACGTAATCTGTTCAATAAAACAACGTTAAAGATTAATACTCACAAGTCAGACACTCTACTGGATCTGACTATATCGCCAATACCACCAGCAGCTCTTCCGTAATTCTTCAGTCTTCGATATCAGAGGTTGGCAGTGAATATTCAGAGAAAAAAAAACATGGCTGCCTTTATACACGTCGCATTGAATATTTTGAGCCTTCTGATTGGGTAACCCTTCTATTGGTGAACTATAAAATGAGTCAGCTTATTTTGGCTGGCTCACTAATACTAAAGTACCCCAAAATTCTAACATACAATTCCGTAAAATACTTGTCGAAAACACAATTATACTTCGACATGAAAACAATAGACAAAAACTAAAAATCCTTGAAGCATTATACATCAAACAGTTAAAACCCAACCTAAACAAAATCAATTATGGCATCTCTACAAATATTCTTAAATGTCTATAATTGGTAACCAACGGCTTTCCATACTCCATACTTCTCCAATTCACTCTCGTGTGGTCATGTGTGACGTCATGAGATGCGGTGCGATTTTCGCTTCTAGCGTCTTATATGTGCGTGTTTATCGTTGCTTAGAGATCATCTATGTAAACATATATTGCTTCATATGTTGTAATTGACATCTTTGATAATGGCTTATGTAAGCCGAAAGCTTAGATTGTATTAAAAAAAAATATGGATCAATATTGTGAATTTCTTTCTTCGTTCAATTATAATGTTATTAAACTTATTAGACGTTATGAAAAGAGTTTACATAAAATAAATAGACAACACTTGTTAATATTATTTAATGAAACGTATATATATATATAT